CCAGGCCAAAGAAGACTGATGTAGATTCAAATGTATTAAAATTTTGAATAATCATAGTAAATCAATCAGCAACTAGTGCAGATACAGGCAGTTCCGAGGATTCTTGTGTGCTGCACTTAAAGAAAGATATCTGAAATCTATCTGAATTTGGTAATGTACTAACATGCCCTAAAGGATTAAATGGGCATTCAAATCCATTTTGAGTAGGCCGCTGGAGAGAAGGGTGACAGTGGAAGATCTAGATTGGCCAGGTCTATCAGTCGGTGAGGCAGCTTGGTTGGAAAGAGACTTTGAAGAGGAAGAGATAAGACAAGCTGTCTTCTCTATGGACAGGTCAAAGGCTCCTGGACCAGATGGTTTTACCATGGCTTTCTATCAAGTGTGTTGGGACATTATTAAAGAAGATTTGTTTGAGGCGTTTAGGGAGTTTGAAAACAACCATGTGATTAGTTGCGGAGTTAATGCCACGTTCTTAAATCTCATCCCAAAAAGATCAGATGCCAAACACCTTAAAGATTTCAGGCCAATTAGTTTGGTGACCAGCATCTATAAGATTATGGCAAAAGTGCTTTCTTTAAGGATTAAAAAGGTCCTTCCGTCTCTCATTACTCAAACCTAGGGTTCTTTTGTCCAAGATAGGCAAATTATAGATCAGATCCTTATAGCAAATGAATGTGTGGAGGAAATGAGGAGATCCGGCAATCAAGGTTTTATTTGTAAGCTGGACATTGAGAAGGACTATGACTCGGTGGATTGGGATTTTCTATTAGAAGTGCTAAGAAAATGTGGATTTGGGAATAGATGGTGTAGGTGGGTGAGCAAATGCATAACATCTTGCCAATTTTCAGTTCTAGTTAATGGAGGGGTCAAGGACTTCTTCCCAGCATGTAGAGGACTCAGGCAAGGAGATCCTCTTTCCCCCTTTTTGTTCACACTTGTGGCAGATGTGCTCAGTAGAATGATTTCTAAAGCAGATAAAGAAGGGCTAATAAGAGGTTGGAGGATAGGCAGGAATAATGTCACAGTGACTCATCTTCAGTTTGTTGATGATAACATCATCCTTTGTGAAGGGGGAGATTTAGGGAGAGTGAGGAACCTAAAAGATCTTATTAAATTCTTTGAGTCTGCTTCAAACCTATCGATTAATTTTGACAAAAGTTGTGTGGTGGGAATCAATTTGGAAGATCGGGAGGTAAAGGCTATAGCAGGTTCTCTAGAGTGTTCCATATCTGATTGGCCTTTAACCTATTTGGGCCTTCCGTTAGGAGCTAACCCAAAAGAAAGTCGGTTCTGGTATTCAATTGTGGAAAAGTTTGAAAAGAGGCTGGCTGCTTGGAAAAAAGTTACATTTTGATAGGGGGTAGAGTGACCTTGATTAGGGCGACACTTGCTAGTTTTCCGGTTTATTTTCTTTCTGTATTCAAGATACCCTCAAGGGAAGCCAAGAAGCTAGAAAAAGTGACGAGGGATTTCTTGTGGGAGCCAGGGGAAGAGAAGAAGGATCACTTGATTAGGTGGGAGATAGTTAGTAGGAGTAAGGAAGAAGGGGGATTAGGATTGGGAAATCTAGTTCTTAAGAATGAAGCTTTACTAGGGAAGTGGCTTTGGAGATGGCCGTTAGAGAGAGAGAGGTTGTGGCACAAGGTGGTGAATAGTATTCATGGCTGTTTGCAGAACAGTTGGGATGTCAGGGTATCTCGATGGGCAACTCTTGCAACACCCTGAAAGGCCATTTACAGAGTTCTGCCCCATTTTCTCAATCTGGTCAGGTATGATGTTAATTCTGGACACAATGTTCTTTTTTGGGAAGACATTTGGGTGGGCAACCAACCTCTTAAAGACCTTTTTCCCTCTCTTTACTCTCTTTCCCTTTATAAGAAGAGTCGATTTCCAGTTTTATTTCCTACTCAGATTCTTTTGTGGCCCTAAACTGTGATTTTGGTTTTCGTAGAGGGTTACGTGATGATGAAAGTGCTTGTGTTTCGGACTTATTGTCTTTACTTGAGTAAATTTTTTTAGATCAAGGTTTAAAATATCACAATGTATCGGCCCGTATTGGCCGATACGTACCATTTCCATAAAAAACCGATACACGGAACATGTAAAATCCATGTGTTCCATTTCTTTTCATATGTATCGGCCGATACAGGCCCGTATCGGGCCGTTTCGGATCTGTATCAGCCGATACAATTCCGAAACAGGTCGATACGAACCGAATCGTTTCGGTTCCCCTTGTTCAATTAATCTATATTTAATACTGAATCTTTCTCATTAATGTCTTTTATTACTTCTCTATTTAAGTCTAACTTCTTCATTAATTAGTTAATTATTCCTATATTTAAGGCAAATTTAAATTTGAATTTGAATTTTAACGCCTAATTACATATCTCTCATTAATTCTATTAATTAATGACTCTCTCTCTCATTAATTTTGTTTTGTTAATGTAAAAACTACAAATGTTAACAATTGCAAGACTTGAACCCTGGTCACCAGATTTTAATGCACATAATTTCGCCACTAAACCACTCCGATTTCTTTGTTGTAATTACATTCATTTTTAGTTTTAAGTCAATTGTTTTTCTTTTCCTAGTGGTGCTTATTAATAAATGCTGAAATTAATTATTGGAATTTATATATTAATAAATATTAAGATAATTAAATTGGTTATTTGAAAATTGATGTATATACGTTCATATTTTAGTTTTTTTTTGTTTTTTTCACATTTTAGTTATCCCATCATTTTTCAACGACTACTAATTATATCTCGATATGTCACATTTTATATAAAAATTAAATTATGGTTTTTTACATTTAAATGACTTATATACAATCATATAAAACGTGTAAGCCTTGTTAATAATATGTTTTTTATGATTTATTTGAATTTCTTAACATATTTATGCGTATCTTGATTTTTCATCTGTATCCATGCGTATCCAAAATGTATCCCGATACGTCACTTAAAATTATCTTTCCGATACACCTTGCGTTTCCGATACTTTGAACCTTGGTTTAGATCCCCTCAAACCTGACACAAGAATTTGGACCCCTAACCCGAAAGGTTTGTTCACTTGCTCCTCTTTCTTCAAGTCCCTTTGTTCCACTTCTGCACCTTAGAATTTCCCAATTAGAGAATTTTGGACTAGGCCCATTCCCCCAAAGATTGTTGTTTTTTGTTGGGAAGTTTATTATGGTAAGATTAACACCTTTGAAAACCTACAAAAGAGAAGACCAAATTGGTGCTTATCCCCTAATTGGTGTGTTCTTTGTAAATCTCAGAATGAGGACTGTCACCACTTACCGATCTCTTGCTCCTTTGCTACAGCTTTATGGAATTGGATTCTTACGTTGTTTAAGTGTAGGTGGATTGATACTAGTTTGTTGTTTAGTCCGTCTGTTTTTGAATGGCACACAAAGAGAGGGAGAACTATGTGGAAGTGCATAAGAGCAGCTTTGTAGTGGACAATTGGGAAGAAAGGAACACCAGAATCTTTTGTGAAAAAGAAAGGAGCTTCTTGGAAGCTAAAGAATGTATTTTGACAAGGGCAATTCAGTGGCTGAAAACTCTAAAGATCTTTGATGCATACTCTTTTGATGACCTATGGAGAAGCTGGTTAGTAGTGGCTAATACTTCTACCAGGAAGGACAGACATGGGATTGAATGGATGCCACCAGGGGAGGAGTTTATCAAGTTGAACTTTGATGGAAGTAGACGAAGAAATCCAGGACCTTCAAGCATAGGAGGAGTGCTGAGAAACAAAGATAGTAACGTGACATCTTTATACTCAGGTCCAGCGGGTGTGGGAGACTCTTTAAGGGCCGAATTACTGGTTGTTGTACAAGGAATCCAGCTTGCAAATCAGCTAGGCATAGAGCATCTGATTATTGAAGGGGATTCCCAGGTGATAGTGGGTTGGCTGAAGGATC